CATATTCCGCTTGGGAACCCTGCAGCCCAATGGTATCAATGTGGATTTCACAAGTTTCAAAATCTCCCCTCCCCCTACCGCATCCCAAAACCAGTCCAGCTCGTCCCTGCCTCCCTAACCTGTTCTTCCTCCCACCTATCCCCTCCTCCCACCTCAAGCCGCACCTCCATCTCCTACCGACCAACCTCATCCCGCCCCCTTGACCTGTCCGTCCTCCCTGGACTGACCTATCCCCTTCCTAACTCCCTACCTACACTCACCTTTACCGGCCCCATCCCTGCCTCTTCGACCTGTTTGTTTCCTCTCCACCTATCCTCTCCTCTATCCCTCTTCTATCCGCCTCCCACTCTCTCCCTATTTATTTCAGAACCCCCTTCCCCTCCCCCTTTTCTGATGAAGGGTCTAGGCCCGAAACGTCAGCCTCTCTGCTCCTATGATGCTGCTTGGCCTGCTGTGTTCATCCAGCCCTGCACCTTGTTGTCTCGGATTCTCCAGCATCTGCAGTTCCTACTATCTCACATCCAGCCTGGACCACTTTGCATTAGCCAGCTCCTTATTCTGGCTGTGAAAGCTTCCTGATCCGGATCCTGAAACTGTGGAGAATACATTCCCGATTGTGTAGCCAAATCCTTCAAACGTTTTATACCTCCTGGTTTGTCCTCCCATTTTTCACCATCACCTTCCCAGTCTATTGGGGAAGGGTACATGTTTCCCACGGCTAATGTCAGCGCATTTCCACAATGATCCAGTTTTCCCAATGTTCCTAAAGACACTGTTCACATGTGGATCCACACTTACTGCTCCCAGATTCCCCCACTCTGTGGCACTCAGCATAATATGGGCAGTGCCCTGGTCCCATGACCAAAAGGCCAAGGGTTCGCATGAATTCTGCTTAAAGTGTGACCCCAAATCCTGCAATTCAGACACCAAGTAATCTCCCACTGTTCTCAAATTTTGTCCTCTTACCTATTGTGCCTTGTTTGTTATTAGGAGTCGTGCTATTAGTCCCTCCTCTGAGGATGCCTCCAGAGGTGGACCATCCCCTTCCCCGTCTGTCCATTCAGACTCTGAATCAAATGAATACCAAGTGTCTCCATCCCAATGGTCATGGTCCCATCCTGAGGTTAATAATGCACGCACTTTGACTGTGCTAACAAATCAGCTACAGACCCCAATCCAGAGTCCGCCGCACTCCACCCTGGAATACATAAAGTCTCCGGAGCATCAGGTTGCCTTTTCCTTCTCTTAAATATTTTACCGAATCTCATCCTCGTCACCAAAAATCTCTTGGATCACAGGGTGTATCCAAGTGGTTCTTTAGGATTCGGTTAAATATAATTAAGAGAAGACTCGACACAGCAATTTGCTTAAATGTGGGTGTTTATTATGTAATAATAATAATAATAATGAGTAAAAAAGGGAAAAGAAAGGGAAAAAACAATAAGTCTCACACCCTTCTGCCCGTCAGGGACCCCTCGATCAATGGCTGGTCTGGAGGCTTAGGTTCATTCCCGGCACCTTTCATGATTCCAGTCCGAGATGAAGTCTAATTCTTGGAACGAAACTCTCTCTCTCTTATACAGCATAGCCAGCACAGAGAAAGCAGATACTGAAGACAAAACTGCTGGCTGTTACAGAAAACACAGCTAGAGAAAAACAAGCTGCAGGTATCGTATTCGGCCAGTTAGGGAAGGATCACAGGACTCACTCAAGGTCATGCAGCTGTCGAATATCATCATGAACTTTCCCAGCCTATTTTCCCCATCCCACACACTGAGGGAAGGATCCTTGTGAAATGCAAAATTGGGATTGAGGGGTGGATGTGTTTGTTGGTGGCGTTCTGTTATTCTCACATTCCAATCACTTTATCTGAACTAACATCCTTTCTCCCCCCGCATTCCAAAACCCTCCCCCCCACCCCGACTATAGCATAAATGCTGCCCCCTCCACACTTCACTTCAGCTCTGATGAAGAGTCATCTAGACTCGAAACGTTAGCTTGCTCTCTCCCCACTGTGATCTCCAGCATCTGTTGTTTTCACCCAGGTCCATCTGCTCTTGTACTGTCCCACTGTCCCCTTCCTTTTAAAGTGTCCCACCAGGTCCTTTTTACCACAATTAATCACTTCACATTTCTCTCCATTGAACTTCATCTGCCATCTATCTACCCACACTGTTCTCCTCCATAGGCTCCTACAAAACTCTCTCGAGTTTCTGTAGACAAATACTTCACAAGGCACTGGACAGACACAGGATTCCTTCTGTTATCTAAACTGGTTAGTAAGGAATCAGATGATAAAGGTTAATGGGGAAAATTTAACCAAAATCATCATTTATGACCCTGATGGGATTGACTGAACAACAGCGTTGAATTCAATGGGGAATACCCTGGAACAAATTCTATCTGATCTCATGAGTCTCAAACCAAGGAAGGAGGTGAAATTGACCCCACCTTTCAAACAACAAGCCTTTATTGAAATTGTGACAAAGAATTAAAGCTGAATTATGAACACTTCCTTCCTAACCATTGACACAGCCTTCTAACATTGGCTGTTTTAGTTTCTAAGTCCTCAACCTGCTGTGTGCTTATTAGAAATTAACAACAGGAAAATACTGAGTCCTGGAGGACAATCTACCTACTGTAATCTAACACCCAGAATCGATACACAGCCCATATCAAACAGACCCAGGAGAACCCTACCCCCACTGGAACATCACACCCAATGGGAAAGTAGAAAGATTCCACTTCCAGCCCAATCTCTGCTGAATTGTGATCTCAGTGACGTGGCCATTCCACAATCTAGGATTATCCTCAGGGTTCGGCTCCTGGTCAGTGGTTCCCGATGGAACACGCATCTGTCTGGATTCTGTGTGTGGTCGATGGAACGCAGCCAGATTGAGCAGTGTATGACATTTAGTAGCTGTGCTCACAGACAATAGATGCATCCAAAAGTTATTTTTTTGAGAACAGCCCACAGTGAGACAAAAAAATGTTCACTTTTAGTAGACTGATGAATATCCTAGGGATTACTGTTGGCCAGAAACTGAACTGGACTAGCCATACAAACACAGTGGCTACAAGAGCAGGTCAGTACTTGGAATCCTGCAGCAAGTAATTCACCTCCTGCCTCCCTAAACCTGTCCACCATTCAGTAAAGTCAAGATGATCGGACTGTAGCTTTTACTTCACATCCCCATTCACCCTCGATTGAATTTAACCCCCTAACCTACTTACAAAGAATCAAACTGCTTCGGCCTTATAAATATTTAACGAGCCGCATCCCTGCCACTCTCTGGGGAAGAGAATTGCCAAGACCCAACACTGTCTGAAGGGAACAGCTTCTCTTCATCTCTGTCTTAAATGGGAGGGCTTTTGTTTGTAAGCTGTGTGCCCACATTCTAGTCTCTCTCACCCCCCAAAAGAATTTCATCATAGCATCTTCCGTGCCATGCCCCCTCAGGATCGCCATGCCCTCTTCCGAACTCCAATGGATACCAGCCCAGCCTGCCCAACATTTCCTCACAAAACAACTGCCTCACCCAGGGATCAGTTGAATCAACTGTCCGCTAATTGTTTCTAAAGCAGTTCTGTCTTTTCTGAAGTACAGAGTTCCAAGCTGCGCACGATACTTCACATGAGATTTCACCCAACCAGTGGCAGCAAGACCTCCCTACTTCAATATCCCATTGCAACCAATGACAGCATTCTAGTCACCTTCCTAAACACTTGCTGCATCTGCATGCTAACGTCTTGCCATATATCGCTGTTCCTTCAGTGTCACTGGGTCAAAATCCTGGAATTCCCTCCCTAAGGGAATTGTGTGTCTACCTTCAACATGTGGATTGTAGCAGTTCAAGAAGGCAGCTCAACCCCACTTCCTCAAGGGCAAACAGGGACGGGAAATAAATTCACATGTGATCAAGGCAAATATTTAAAAAGACAAAAGATGCAGCAGGATTGAGGCAAAATCATCAATATTTTATTAAGTTTGAATAATCAGAAAGATGGGCACTAGATCCCAACACAAATAAATAGTATTTACACAGTCATTGTAAATTCATTCACATAAAATCAACAACATTCTACAAACTATTTCTTCCTTATTTGAATCGATTGTAAAACTATTTACAAAATATGACTGTTCCCACATAACGATTTTGGCAGCTCAATCCCACTCTTTCAATTCTTATAAACTTTAGAACATCAAGAGTGAGCTCACACTATTGGGTGGAGTGATGGGCTGATTCAATTGTCTGTGCTCTTCATTCATTCCACCCATCCCCATCAAATACTCCCAGGACAGGGACAGCACGGGGTTAGATACAGAGTAAAGCTTCCTCTATATTGTTCCCATCAAACACTCCCAGGACAGGGACAGCACGGGGCTAGATACAGAGTAAAGCTCCCTCTACATTGTTTCCATCAAACACTCCCAGGACAGGGACAGCACGGGGTTAGATACAGAGTAAAGATCTCTCTACATTGTTCCCATCAAACACTCCCAGGACAGGGGCAGCACGGGGTTGGAGATGGAATATGTCTCCCTCCTCTTGTGCTAGTTTACAGGATGACTAGTGCTGCCTCCAGTATCTGGCCCTTGCTGAATTGTTCGCAGTACCAATACCCTGCCCTGTGTGATCTTTTCAATGAATCCATGTGCTTTACACAACTTTCCAAGCAGCGCTCCCAGGCAGAACGAGCCAACTTGACTGGCAAAACCCCGGCGTTAACTGGTGGAAGGTGTCTGCCATTGGTTGCTGTCTCTTGGTCTCTCCTGGTCATCTTTAACTGGTCTTGTCTGCCAACTCTTGTCCTTACACTGGGCCTGGTGAATGCAATGTTCTGTTCTAGTACAGATTGCACAGAGTGGCATTAAGTGGGGTGTACTTGGCCAGGTCAGTCCATGATACCCAGTTAGTGGAAAGTTGAGGTGGTCGTTGTGTCAGGAGGAGCCAATCCCAGACCCAGCCTCTTGGGTGAGATGCTGCCAAGAAGCAGGTTCTCAATCAGGCTGTGAATGTCTGAGGTTTCAGTGGAGCCGAAACACCCAGTGCATCAGAAATATCAGACACATTAGGGTTTGTGATTTCCTGATGTAGACCCTGTGGTGACCGAGAGGTGACTAAGAGACAACAAAAAGAAAACAAACACCTGCCTTCATTATGTCCAGAGTACTGGGGAAATCCAGCAGAATTCACAGACCCTTAAACACATCGAACAATAAATTGCTACAGTCCTAACACCATTGGGAGTTCATTGTGTTATTACCAAGGCCCATCTGTAGGAAATGATCTTCTCAATCATCAAAGATCTACTGAAACATGTTGTAAGCTGTTACAATTCTAAGACATTAAGTGCTCATTTAATTAGTTTGTCAAAAGTGAGATTTTTCCAAAAAGCTTTCTGTAAATCATTTTTCTTGTAAGGACCTCTGCAAATATACTGACCAATAGCAGCCTATTGGAGTCCAGTCAGTTCTCTTAAGAGATCACAGGTTTTCTTATCCTTGACCTCAGACAGCTTCTTGATTCGTTTCTCATTGACAGTCCTCACAAAACTATGGGGCTGGAGAACAGCCATGCCATTGTAGACATCTCCCATGACAATCAGAGGACCATCTTCCATGGTCATGTTGGGACAGGGACAGTTCCAGTCCATGTTTAAGAGTGTGATCTCCAGGACCTCACTGCCAAAGAACTGAAGCCCCATCTTCTCATCCTTCAGGACTCTGTCTACAGTGAACAGCGCTCGCCCAGAGTCTGCATCTTCTGTCAGTTCGGTCATGTGGCCTACTATCACATAGTCACTTTTGCAATAACTGGTCACTATCTTGAAGCGTGGCTTACAGACCTTACACTGCTGGGTCCTGGGATATGGACAGATTTCCTCACAGGTCTCCCTGCTTTCGAAATTGTTCTCATTTCCACCACAGCCTCCATAGATGAAGGATTGGCACTGCTTCATCAGGCTGTTATAGGCCCATCGGGGTTCCCAGACCTTACAGGGACCCTGGAGAGCAGGCAGATTGCAGATGTTGACTGGCTCATTCATGCATGTTGACATACAAGCCTCGTAGGTCTCAAAGTGGTTCATGTTCCCATCGCAGCGTCCGTAGTTGAAGGTGAAGCAGTTGTTTTTCTTCAGGTCGTAATACCATCTGATCTGATGCTCTCCGCAGCTGCCTCGGTCAGGTTGTTTCAGACACTCGGTGGCTGGGATCTCAGTTGTATTGGCAGAGTTCTGCCTCATCAGGTCTTCCCGTTTGATCACAGAGAGCGGGACATTGGCTCTCAGGAAGCCGCCGGCGTTGCGGGCTGTGCACGTGTAGATGCCAGAGTCTTGAAGCTGAGCATTGTAAATGACCAGCTGGCCGATGTTGGTGACCACCACGTTGCCATTGACGTGGTTGGGCCTCATGATGATATTCTCCCTCCCATCCAGCTCCTTCTCCCATGTGACCTCAGGCCTCGGCCTGCCACTGACATTGCAGAGGAAGCTGACTGTGCCCCCCACATATGTGGACTGGTGGACGGGGTTGGAGAGCAAAGTTGGTGGCACCACATCCTGGGAGGTGGTGAGCAAGTCGGCTGTGGTGGGGCGGGCAGTGGTCTGCACTGTCATGGGGCTAGTTTGTGGCCATGCGACCTGGTGGGTACAGGTGACCACTGTCAGTGTGATACCTTTGGTGCATGCCTCAGCATCCATGTAACATTTGTTGTAATACGTTAACCCATCAGAGGCACAGGTAAAGTGTGGCTCCTTCTCACACCTGTCCTTGCATTTGCACACAGGCTGCCCATCCCAGATGTCACACTCAGAGCCCTGCTGGACACACATGAAGTGGTCACAAGTGGCTCCCCTTGGCATTCCAACTGGGCCCTTCCTCCCTTTAACAGCCATGTACCTGGCAGCAACACAGCTCTTCGTCCCACACACATTTGGGCAACATTTTTCAAACGTTTCACAGTCCTGAGGAAATAAAAAGATTTTCAAAAGAAAGCTTCCAATTAAAGACGAGGCCTTTCAACAACAGCTTCCATTCAGACAGCACTCAGAATGCAGGGAAGGCATTGCAAGGTGGCAGACAGGAACGGGAATCAGACAGGATTTAACAATGAGCCCCATCAGGAGGTATGGGATGGGTAGTGGGTTGTTATAGTGGCCATGGCCTGTCAATAAAATTACTGAAGGGGAAGGAGGCCATTTGGCCCATTGTAACTGTACCAGTCCTATCCCCTCATGTCAATCTTCTGCCTTTTCCCCATATCCACGCCACCCCCACATACCATTACTGTCCAAATAATCATCCTACGCCCTTCAATTGAACCTGCCCCCAGTGCATTCCCAGGCAGCATATTCCTGGCGTAGGACTCAGAGGGCATTGGGTCTCAATTGGCAGGTCACCACCCCAGGGAGGCAGTCCCTTCTCCCCCTGAGGGAGGGATGTTACAGACTGAATGGGTGCTCAAAACCATTTATCCTCATCACAGGGAGAAGTATCAAGGAAGCCAGCATTAATTAGGGGTTAGACAGATGCATTCAGTTATACTGTTAACAAGTAAAATGTGTTGAAAATCTTTGTGTACCAGGACCTGATCAATGTCTAGGATTGGCCATGCTAAATTGCCCCGTAGTGTTCAGAGGTGTGTAGGTTAGTTGTGTTATAGGGGGATGGGTCTGGGTGGGATGCTCCAAGGGTCAGTGTGGACTTGTTGGGCCGAAGGGCCTGTTTCCACACTGTAGGGATTCTATAACTCTGAATACATGGTCACCTCTCACTGGGCCTGCCCTCCGTCAGGAGTAGTGGATATCGGCAGAGGGCAGTTGCTCAGGAATCTGCCCCTTCCTCCACCATTGCTGGTTCGAGGAGGGGAGGGCTGTGGCTGTGGGGGTGACCAGGGTCAGGGATATGCTGGGTGGGCGGGGGCCTGGGCTGGACGCTGCCGCAGGAATTAACCAGCAGGGCGGCGGTAGACATCTGGCTTGCGGTCACTGCCATGCAACACCTTAAACTCAGCGGGTGCTCAGAGCCGACATCGTGCTCCAGCTGGGGGATGCTCAGGTGCGTGGTGGAACCCCGTCTGTGTGTATTCCTGCCCGGATGGCATTTCACTTCGGCCCCGGGATCCCGTATCTCCCCCCAGGGGCCTGTGCCCCACAACCTGAGCCACCTCCGAGATATTTGTGCCTGTCCTTTAGGGAAGTGAAACAATGAGCCCTGTACAGACTTGCTGCTGCACACCATCCACCTCTTCTCCTTCATCCTCCGCCCAGACACACCTTGGGATCCCCAATGGAGGGCTCTCTACACGGGGGACCTCCATCTTTCCCTGGGGAGGACGGTGTAGAATGCAGCAGTGCCTTGTAATGGCAGATTGCGGTGGTTCATGTAGTCCCAGCCCAACTATTTGTTTTGCAGCGCTGTGGAGTTTGTGGACAATGTGTACATTGGTTGTGGGCATTTGCATTCCCTTTGTAGTTACCTGAAGAGCCTGTTGCTATGTTTTTGGTTGCACTTCAGCCCCACGCTCCTGATCTTTGGGTAGCTGGTGTGGAGGGGTGCGGGCAGGTTGGAGGATCTTCTCCAGGGTCTGCCCCTTGGCCTGGCCAGGCTGGCTATTAACAGGTCCAGGGAGTGGGCCTTGGAGGGGGGTCATTTCTACTGGCTGGCTGCTTGCACCCTTCTGTGGTTATTTTCGAATCCGGGTGTGCTTGGAGAGAGAGCACACGGTGTCCGCCAGTGCGCTCGATGCCTTTAGGGAGAGGTGGGCATTGCTGAGGGTGGAGTGCATTATTCCCCTTTCAATTCTATTTTGGTTTGATCCTTACCCTCCCACTTCCCTTTTTTTCACAACGGCGTTGCCCCGACCGGGCTCCGCTTGACACTGGTTCCCTGACTACGTGGGTGTTTTTCCTGATGATCGAATATTGACTAAAATTATTTACACAACTGGTATTTTTACTGAGTCCCTGCACAATGCACACACAACACGGGTGCTGAAGGGAAAATAAAAAGAAAAAATAATAAAGGCCTTGTGTAAACAGAATGAGACAGGGAGATCAAACTGCCCCCTCCCACCAGCAATGCCCTAAACTCGATCAGAGTTTAATTTAGTGCTGAACAGAGAATGGACTGTACAAATACAGATCTGTTGTTTCAATGGAAACTCTTAACAATCCACTAAAAGTCCAAACCCTACTGCCAGCTGTGAAAATCACCCTCTTTGGGTGAGGGGGGGGAGGTGTTATTTTCCCCTGCCTGAGGAATTGGAATATTCCATTGGAAAACCATGGGGCTGGATTCGGACTGTTCAATCTCACAGTCTATGAACTGGAGCGCAGCAAACAATCAGCAGAAAGACAGGATCAACTTGCATTTATATGTAAGTATCCCGCAACTCCTCAGGATGTCCCAAAGATCTTCATAGTTAACACAGTACTTTAGCAAACTACTCACTGTGGTAATGGAGGCAACTTGGCAGCTTAGGTATGTGCACAGCATGATCCCACTAAGAACAGCATGATTATGACCACTTAATTATTTTTAATTGAGGCATAAATATTGGCCAGACAAACCCTTCTGTCTCATAGATTCTTTTCACGCATGCCTGAGATAGCTGAAGGGACATGAGTTAAGCGTATGATCCAAAAGGCAGCAGCTCCAACAGTGCGGCGCTCCCTCAGCACTGACCGTCCGACAGTGCGGCGCTCCCTCAGCACTGACCCTCCGACAGTGCAGCGCTCCCTCAGCACTGACCCTCCGACAGTGCGGCGCTCCCTCAGCACTGACCCTCCGACAGTGCGGCGCTCCCTCAGCACTGACCCTCCGACAGTGCGGCGCTCCCTCAGCACTGACCCTCCGACAGTGCGGCACTCCCTCAGCACTGACCCTCCGACAGTGCGGCACTCCCTCGGCACTGACCCTCCGACAGTGCGGCGCTCCCTCAGCACTGACCCTCCGACAGTGCGGCGCTCCCTCAGTAGTGACCATCTGACAGTGCGGCGCTCCCTCCGCACTGACCCTCCGACAGTGCGGCGCTCCCTCGGCACTGAATCTCCGACAGTGCGGCGCTCCCTCAGTAGTGACCATCTGACAACGCGGCGCTCCCTCAGTACTGCTCCCAGCCATAGTTCATACTTAGACGGTAGAACACATTACCCATCACTGTCCAAATACCTTTCCCTGCATATTGCAGATCCAGTTCATTCAGACATCCTGCAGCTGTACATGACAGAAAACACAGAATACAAAGCCTAATCCCACGATGGACCTGGGCAGGAAACTTGTCAATAAACACTGACTGTTTACCCCAGGGGGCATCACAACCAGATCCATTCTCATGCCCAGCCCTTGACCCATCCTCTGCTCCTTCAGCTGTTTGGTTAAACTGTTTTGCCTTAAACTGGCAGCAGGATTTTTACTTCTGGTCCCAGACAGATTGCACTGTGTCAGAGCTGGTGAAGTCGCTCACTAGTGAATGGTTAATTCATCACAATCCTCTCCCTAACTCTGATTGTGAAACAGTGGAAGGGTTTGTGAGCTGTTGGCATTTGACACAGTGCGGTGTGAACTGTAGGATAGGACAGGCCAGCAGCAATCTCATATCTCTGCACTTTCCCCGGATTCCTGCAGTGTTTTCTCTTTCAAACTTTTACTAATCCCCATTGGAAAGTTGTGATTGAAACTGCTTCCACTATAAGCTTCTCAGACAGCACTTTCCAAATCCTAAACTCACTCTGGGGAAAGCCCTATGACCAAACACATTTGGTTTGTGCTGCCTCATTCCAAACCTTTCATGTTTCCAAAAGACGTGGAGTTTTCAATCTCTCTTTTATGTCACATCTCCTCCTAACCTTTGTTCCTAAAAGGGGAATAACCACAGATTCTCCAATTGATCCATTGGTTCATCCTTGGAATCCTCACAGTCTTCTGTTAAACTCTCCAACACCTTCTGTACTGTGCTAACACAAATATGTTCAGAATTAGACACAATGCACAATGTTTCAGTTGCAGCTGAGCTAAACTCTTCTGAAGACTCTGTGTCAGCCCCAGTGCCTTGGAATTATAAAGTGCAGGATGTTATCTGCTTTATGGCCATTTTTCCGAAGCTGATCTCCCACCTTCAGAGATTTGTGCACAGCTCCATCCACCTCACTCTCTTCTTGCAGCTCCTTTCAATTTATAACCTTCAAATTGCCCTATCTCTGCTGGTTCTGACCCAGTGATATCACTTCAGAGCTTTCTTCCTGCTCTGAGTCTAACTCTGGAACTATGATGGGCTATTCCATTCCAGCAGCTCCTTTCTTTCCTCACTGTTTCCCATTTTCCCATTATTTCATACCGTCTTTAAATTTCAAACCTGAGCATTGTGTCCCAAGCTACAATTAGTCTGTAGATCAGAGACATCCCTGGTGCTAACATTGAGCAGTGGGGCACTCTGCATCTCTCTACCCGTTTGAAGAGCCACTTATTACAAATTTCTGTCTGATCCTCCTGGGGCAATGCAGACAAAGACAAGTCAATGCCCCTTGTGCCTGGTAACAATTTAATATTTCAGTTCTGACCCTGTGTTACTCTTGATGCCATCGCCAGTGGAGACTAGGTCTTAAAATCAAGGGTTATGTCTGAAAGGGGCATTATCCTCCCTGAGTGTTGAACAGGATGGCTTGTTATTAGTTGTGACCTGTTTCTGCTCTCCTGTTAACTTTGTGAGTGACAATCCAGGGATCTGAGTGAGCCCACACCCCCTTCCCCCCTGGCCTTACTGCCACTGAGATAGGTGCTAAGAGCCACGTTTAGGAACTGTTGACGGATGAAGACCAGCAATGAGCCCATACTTTGAGAGTCTGTCCTACTGCTCAGCTGCAGACCCCTGGCCCTGAGCAAGGTCCCAGGGATCCCCCAACTAACCCAGCCACTCAAAACCCACACTCACTGAGCAACAGCAAATCTGGATAAAAACTCAAAAGGTTTCAAACACATCAGGGGAATCTTCAATCGGACAGAGCGCTCTGACGGACGGAAAAAGCATTACTCTAGAACCCTGCTCATCCCCAAACAAGGATTCCACAACCACCACCCCCCCACACACACCCCCGAAAGGCAGCAGGTGAAGTTTTGTGAAGGGGCTGGAAATGAAGAGTTGTAAGATATTGCACACTGACAGATAGGAGAAGCTGAGGCTGGAGAGGAAAGGAGACAGAGACCACTCACACACACACACACACACAAGCTCAGGTAACCGGTATTGAGAGGAAAGGGAGACAGTGTGAAGCTAGGGGGTATATTTTGTTTACCTGGTCGGTCTCACACTCACGGAGACAGGTGCTCTGAGCGTCCACCCACAAGCTGGGGCTCATTTCATTAGGACAGATGCCAGCGTGAGAGTATTTGATCCGTGACACAGCCACATTGTCAGCAGACAGAGGGAGGAGAGTGAAGAGCAGATATCCGAGAGATAGCTTCCTGATCGCTGCCAGCTGAATACAGAGCATGGCTGGGGACTGTCACAGGAACACAGGCAAGGATCAGCTTCCGATTTCTCATCAATTCTTTTCTTCCTCTTTGTATATCCCCCTCTCTGCCAGTCTCCTCTCTTCCTCTGCCACTCTCTCTCTCTGTCTGTTTTTGCCTTCTCTCTGTCTCTGACTCTCTCTCTCTCTCACTATTTATTTAACTGCCTCTCTCTCTGCTCTCAGACCGAGGACACAGGATTAAACCGTTTCAGACCCTCGTGATTTTTGCGAAAAGCGAGCGGTTAATGAGATTTCCTATCCCTTTCCCCACTATTATATAGTGCCCTCTGGAGAGTCACCCTGCATGAAGTTTAACATTCTCACTGATCGGGCCACTCACAAGCTGTAACATTAACAAATCAGTGCTGTTAAAGTTAGAAGGAGTTGAGAGAGAGTTTGAACGCGTGTCTGCCTAAAGCTTTGGTACTGTGTTGGGAGTGGGGTGTGGGGAGACAACCAGACACTAACCCCCCCCCCACCCACCCCAGTATAGCCCCAAGAAGCAGCAACAAGCTCAGCTGTGGACTGGAAACTGAATCCTGCCGCAGTTCCGTCTGCACATTGCTCCAAACCGCATACACCACTGAGAATTCTCAAACAAATTCCATCTTTGTCCGACTCAGGGAAAAAAAATGTCAGCAACACAGACTGTTCCACTATCCACACGCAGTAAATGGTTACAGATCGTAAATGACTACAGATCCTCAATGAATGCGAGCTCACAGTTCCCACTATCTCACTCACACTTGCTACTCGTAAACATTCAATATCGCAGTAACACTCACCATCAAATTATCTTTCACAACTTTATTTACATTGAACAGAACACTGACTCTCACTGGGGTACAGTCCCACACACACTGACTCTCACTGGGGTACAGTCCCACACACACTGACTCTCACTGGGGTACAGTCCCACACACACACTGACTCTCGCTGGGGTACAGTCCCACACACACACTGACTCTCACTGGGGTACAGTCCCACACACACTGACTCTCATTGGGGTACGGTACCACACACTCTGACTCTCACTGGGGTACAGTCCCACACACACACTGACCCTCACTGGGGTACAGTCCCACACACACACTGACTCTCACTGGGATATGGGTCCCACACACACTGACTCTCACTGGGGTACAGTCCCACACACACTGACT